CAAGCTCGTGGGCTTGAGACTTCTGAGCCCGGATTCAGGATCTTTTAGTCCGTATGAACAGAAATGGAAATCTCCCCACCCAGGTCACGGATGGGTCTGAAAACAATTGCTGCATGCATTTCAGATACCATATCCTGCATGTCTGAGGATTTTCGATAATGAAGTATCTTCTGTGCTTCAACTGGCAACGCGCAATGGATGCCACAAATTCAACCATGGGAAGGTAGCGTTTCCGCTTTTCCCCCACCTTTGCTGGTCTTGCTGGATGTTCTGCATATTTGACCATGGTCCGCAGACTGGTGCCATAAGGATGACATCAGGTGCTTGTTCCCTGATGATCTCCATGACCATGTGTCGTCCCTTGGATGTCATTACATCGAATCCTGCGCGGATGTCCACGGGAGTCCCAACCTTAAGACCTGACAGTGCACAGCATTGACTGAATCTTTCCCTTACGTACACAGTTCCAATGTGCTTGTTCAGGAATAGATGTGAGGTCCTCGACGAACATGTTCTCTGCTGGATGAGGTGCTGCAGGTTTTGGAGTTGTTGTTTTCCGCGATACGTGCATCGTTCTCCTCGAGGACCCAGAACGTCTCTTCATCGTTGTTTGACATGAATCCTTCAAGTCCTTCTTCATCCTCAACCCAGAAGCCTTCTTCTCCTTCGTATTCACCTTGTTCGATGATGAAGACTGTGTTGCTTCGGCTGCCTCCTTGAGGTCGGATGGATGGATCTTGGATCGATGTCCTCGTAGTGATGAAGAGTTCATGGTAGCGTTTCTCTCTTGCATCTCATAGGAATAATTCTCGAGTGAGATGTTCCTAAATGACATTGCACTTGTGAGTCGTTCTCTTTGTTGATCTGACAACTCACTTGGTATAATGAAAAACTGTGCAATGAGATTATCCCCGAAGGGAAATGCGTCCCGCTGTCTGTCCTGCATTCCTTGGATATATTGTCTGAGGACTGTAGGATCGTCCTCATTTAGCAGGGCTGGAGGCGGTGCTCGAGCACCGGCTGCTTGCTGATGTCGAGCAATTGTTCTCGCGTTTGCGTCCTGTACGGACTGTCGGAATGATGGAGACTGTGCCGTAAAGATTGGCATCAAGTCCATCCATGCTGCCTTCAATCTCATGAGAAGGATCTCGAATTTTGAGGTAAAAATGAGGAACTCTTGGTTCTGCCTTCTGTGGTTGAAGAAACTGAGGAGTCTGTACAGATACGCGTTGATCGCACCTTTCAAAAAGTACTTCTTCAGCGTGTTCTTGAAATAGTTGACTCCTTCATCAGGATCTTGCAAAAGGTCATTTTGGAGGACGGCCTTGTACATGTAAGCATCTCCAGTGAGTCTGCTCTTAAGCAATGGACCTCGCTTGGCTGCTTCTACTGTGGTGATTGTCACCCAGTCGTCCACGAGTTCTTCATACCCGAACCAGCTGACTTTTCCGTCGTACGATGGCGGCTGCTTGGCGGTCATCGATAAATTAAGTGTTTCCTCCGTGTAGCTCGGCTTTGCCGAACTTGTGTAGGCTTCCATGAAACCTTCTCCATCTGATGACATCTTCCCTTGGGTCTCTGCGGAAAACCCGCTCCGCTACCACAAATTGAGGCCCACTGCCCCAGGTGCCTATCCCCGGAGGGAACTGGAGCCCTGTGGTAGTTGAGGTCGTTGTTGGTCCCTGAATCTATTCCGGAGAGAGTCCAGTATGCCTACAATGGATGATTGGAGGATGGATTGTCCCTGGTGGATTGCCTGATGGATAATCCTGTAAGCGGCCTGCAATGGCTCTTTTGTCCTCACGCTCGAATGGTCGTGATTATGCAAAAGGGGCCTTGAGCCAAATGTTGCGGGAGATCAATCTGTGCGAAAACAACACACCCCCCCCCCACAGAGAAAAAAGAAGTGGATTGGCGCATTCCCGATTCTCGCTCGCGAACGCCGCACCGGAGAATCGCTAGAATGCCCATTCATCCCGAGGGGCCCCCTGCAAAGAAAAAAGAAGCAGGATTGGCGCATTCCGATCCTCGCTCGCAAATTGCACCAAGAGAATCAAGAATGCCTATCCAGCTGAAGGGTTCCCCCTCACAAGAAACAAAAGTGGATTGCGTCAGCAAATTTCCCCCAAGAAAAAACAAAGAAGTGGATTGGCGCATTCCCGATTCTCGCTCGCGAACGCCGCACCGGAGAATCAAGAATGCGCCCATCCAGCTGAAAGGGTCCCCCCCCCCCAAGAAAAAAAAACAGAAGTGGATTGGCGCATTCCCGATTCTCGCTCGCGAACGCCGCACCGGAGAATCAAGAATGCGCCCATCCAGCTGAAGGGGTCTCCCCCCCCCCCCCACAGAAAAAAAAAGTGGATTGGCGCCATCCAACTGAGGGGGTCTCCCCCCCCCAAAGAAAACACAAAGAAGTGGATTAGCGCATTCCCGATTCTCGCTCGCGAACGCCGCGCCGGAGAATCAAGAATGCGCCCATCCAGCTGAAAGGGTCCCCCCCCCCACAGGAAAAAAAAAAGTGGATTGGCGCATTCCCGATTCTCGCTCGCGAACGCCGCACCGGAGAATCAAGAATGCGCCCATCCAACTGAGGGGGTCTCCCCCCCCCCCCCAAGAAAAAAAAAAAGTGGATTGGCGCATTCCCGATTCTCGCTCGCGAACGCCGCACCGGAGAATCAAGAATGTGCCCATCCAGCTGAAAAGGTCCCCCCCCACAGGAAAAAATGGATTGGCGCATTCCCGATTCTCGCTCGCGAACGCCGCACCGGAGAATCAAGAATTCGTTCATTTAATTGAAGGGGTCGGCGGCACTGGGCGGCAGCCCTTAAACAACAATAAGGACGATGACGAAGAAGATGATGATGATGAGTACCGTGATGATGATGCTGATTATGATGCTGATGAACTGACATGATAATCATCATGACGCATCCTCAGCATCACCAGCAGTCATCATGATAATCATTTCCGCGCATCTTCTGCATCTCAAATCGGGTCTAACGGGACACTTGAAACGTATATAAAAAAGATAAGGACGATGACGAAGAAGCTGATGATGATGAGCACCGTGATGATGATGAGGATGATGATGATGATGAACTGACATGATAATCATCATGACGCATCCCCAGCATCACCAGCAGTCATCATGATAATCATGTCCGCGCATCTTTTGCATCTCAAATCGGGTCTAACGGGACACTTGAAACGTATATAAAAAAGATAAGGACGATGACGAAGAAGATGATGATGATAAGCACCGTGATGATGCTGATGATGATGATGACCCCCATTCTCATCATGGTCGTCGTCATCTCTTATCAAGCAGCATTGGTGATGCAGAGGATGCTGCGATGATCGTTATCACCACAGCCGTTAGTGATGCTAAGGATGCTACGATGATAGTTATCATCCTTGTCATCATCTTTATCATCATCTGATCATCACCTAGCATCATCTTATATCATGACAAGGATGATAACTATCATCGTAGCATCCTTAGCATCACTAACGGCTGTGGTGATAACGATCATCGCAGCATCCTTTGCATCACCAATGCTGCCTAATGAGAGATGACGACGACCATGATGAGAATGGGGGCGTGAGGATCGTTATCATCCGCGTCATGACAACTATCATCACAACATCCTCTGCATCACTACTTGTTCCTTGATAACTATCATCATCGCATCCTTTGCGTTGCCAAGGATGTCTAACGTCCCTTTTGGTTTCTATATATAGTAAGATATGAGATGATGCTAGGTGATGGTCAGATGATGATAAAGATGATGACAAGGGTGATAACTATCATCGTAGCATCCTTAGCATCACTAACGGCTGTGCTGGTAACGATCCTCGCAGCATCCTCTGCATCACCAATGCTGCCTGATAAGAGATGACGACAACCATGATGATAATGATGATAAGGATAAGAGAATAAGAAAGAGATGATGATAAGGATGATGATGATCACGATGACCGTGACGATAACATTTATCGTAGCTGCAGCTGCTGATGCTGATGAGGATGAAACTTTGGATATACTTATGCGCCAACTACCCTTCCCGTGCGCCTCCCCTTTTTAGAGAAAGGGTCGGCGGATATATATATATATACATAGGTATAATGGAAACACCTGGACAGTTTTCAGTTCCTGGAAAAGGCAAGTTTGGGGGGGTCTACCATATGATGGAAACGCCTGGAACACAATCACCTGTGGTTTCTTTGGGAAAGGCAGTTTTCTTGGGGGTGGGCCTACCGTTTTGTTTCTCCCTTTTTTCCCCCCTTTGTTTCCATTTTTTTGAATATATGAATATGTGTATGTGTAGAAAGAACTAACAACATGCATGGAACTCACTCCCCGAGTTCTGTTTCGGACTTTAGTCACTTTTGGGGAATTTGGCCCAGTTTAGTGGCTTCACATAAAGTTTGGAATTTGTTTAGCCCTACTCAGGAAGTGAGATAGTGATACGTGGTTATATATATATATATATATTTGTGAACGGGCACTATGGCACCTGTGCTCAAAGGAAGCAACCCAACTCTGGAACGGGGGAAGTTCTTCCGGACACCAAGGGCATGGGGTTGATTCCCCATTCTTTTCAACCATTGTTCTATTCAAAAACCGGCTGATACCCCTTTTCCTGAACAGAAGGATCCCCGGAAAGAATGGGGAAGGTACCTCTAGACTTTTCCACCGCTCCAGGACTTCAAGCATGAGATGCTGAAGCACGGCGAGCAAGCGCCGGCACTCTCAGTCAGTTCGTTTTACGTTTGCCTTCTTTTCTTTCCGTGGTTTGAGAGTCTCCTGTGTCGTGGCGGGCTCAATTTCATAGCGCCCTGCGTTGGCATGGCGGCCTTGGCCGTCAGATTTTGTTGGAACTGCTGCTGCTAGAGGGGCCTGGCCTTTGGCCCTTCGCCGCGCCGGTCTATTTTGGGGTTGCCATTGGCTGACCAAGGCAATGGCGCCTGGATTCGCAGAACCGGGAGACCATTGAGAAATGGGAGAAAGAGGACAGGTGGGGCGTCTCAAAATGTCGATCCAACATGGGACTGCCACGAGGAGGTCCGCATGAGTTGGGGGTTGAGACAAAGCCTTGGAGAAGACCCTAGGTCCCCCAGCTAGGTGCCCTTTTACCAAATTTCGCCAGGTTCGACATACTTTGGCGGTTCAGCCCCTGTAAATCGTTTGGCTCCTTAGGTTTTTAGTGATGTTTCGTTGGTTAAGTGGTTGGGTTTCCAATTTGACCTACCGAAAGTTAAGCTTTTGGCAGGGGATCTGAAAACGGACAGATGAGAAGCCGGGCTCGACGAGCCGATCTTCTTTTTTCCAGGGGTGGACGAGTCAAGCCCTTGTTTGAACCAAGCTAAAAAGCAAAACAAAAACAGAACGCCTCATGTTCCTTCTTTCGAGTTTTGACTGAACTTGCGAATTCTGGGAGTTAATCCCGGTGTTTCCGGGTTTGTTTATCTCGAGTGCATCGTCACATACCAGAACTATTTATCTTTGCAGCCAGTTTCATCACCTTTCGGTACCGCCACTTTTAGCCTCGACCCTCCCTTTAAACCCATACCTCCTTTGAAGCGGATGTTTGCATGAATGGGTTTGTGGTTTCCGGTATCACCAATCCTGATACGGAGAGCTCCATACGAAGCCCCCCCCCCCCCCCGCAGCCCAAGATGGGTTTGGTAGGTTCTGCTCGGAGGGTTCTGATTAAAACCATTCTAGAGTGAGCTCTCTGTAAGGCCCAAGAAAACTTCGGCAGAAACCTTCCCAGAAAAGCGGGGTTCCGATCAAAACCATTTTGCTGGATCAAAACCATTTTGGTGGAGCCTGGGCCAAAAACAAGGCGCCTTCCAAGAAAAGAGGTTTTCTCAGCGAATGGCTTTCTGATCGAAACCTGGTGGAGGGTTTTCTGATCAAAAAACGGAGCGGCTCCGGCTCCGGCGAATCTCCGCGCAGGAGCGGGAGCAGTGGGAGGAGGAGGTCTACCGCTCCTTCGACGCCGACACCGGCGATCTGCTGCCGAGGCCTCAGATCTGAGGGGCGCTCAACGGATGAGCTAAAGCTTGCTTGACCGATTCCCTTGTTCGAGGCAATCAAAATAGACCCCTCAAACTCCAATTTCACGCTTCTTGGGTGTGTCTTTTTGAGGGGACCCCTCAAACTGGGCAGAATGCAGCATGTTGCATCTATGCAAAGGATCCGGAATTCAAATGTGCGCCTTTTGGGAGATTGACCAAGACTGGGAAACCCCCCAAAAAATGGGAAGCCCAAAGCGGCCCGCGTTTTTTTGGTGTTTCTGCGCCGGCGGAACGTTTCGCCCCCGCCGGCCTATTTGGCTATAAATTCATATCAGGGAACCACCTGAAAAGTAGTTGGTGGTTGCCTGAATCCCCACTCAATTTGGATGTCCACCAAAGGGCCCCTCATTGAGCATTCTTTTGGGTGATTCGACACATCACCTTTTGCTGTATCATCCTCTTGGGCCCCATAAACACAAAAAACAAACACAAAAAAAGACACGCGGTCTATCTGAACGCGCCATTTTTTGAGAAAAAAAACGCACAAAAACACCAAAAACACCAAAAAAGACGCGGCCTTTCTGGGCGCGCCATTTTTTGAGACCCCCAAAAATCCCGCAGCGATCCCAGGCCGGAAGCTGCCGCGCAGGCCGGCGCATGGATCGCGAAAAAGTCGTTCGGAGTGGAGCCATCGAGGACGGAAGTCTTGTGGGGTTCGATGGAAGCCCAGGTGCAACCAGAGTCTGTGTGTTTCTTCTTTTTGTTGGGAAAGCCCAGTTTCTTTCTTCTTTTTGTTGGGGAAGCCCAGTTTCTTTCTTCTTTTTGTTGGGGAAGCCCAGTTTCTTTCTTCTTCTTGTTGGGGAAGCCCAGTTTCTTTCTTCTTTTTGTTGGGGAAGCCCAGTTTCTTTCTTCTTTTTGTTGGGGAAGCCCAGTTTCTTTCTTCTTTTTGTTGGGGAAGCCCAGTCTCTTTCTTCTTGTTTTGTTGGGGAAGGGTTCCTTCTTTTTTTTTAGAGTCAAGCAGCCAAGAGAAGAGGCCGACTCTTTCTTTTCCCATGGAAATTTACTGGGCATCTGAGGAAGAATGAGGGTTGGAATTCGTAAAGCTTGGAATCATTGACCTTGTTGGGAAATGACGGTTGGAGAAAGCTTTCGGGCAAATCATGGTTGAAACGGTTTTTGGGAGTTGAGAGCTTTCTGGCAGATGTGGTTGGAACAGGCTTTTTGGGAAAATGGCGGTTGATAGCATTAAGTATTTAGGAATAACACGTGACTGGAGTATCCTTCTCGCAAGTCTTAAAATTCTAAATCTTGAACTTTTGGACAGTCCTGAGGACATTGTTTGGCCAACAACAATTTACAAGCCGGGTTGTTGGGCCAGCACCAGCCCCCCCCTCCCCCCCCGAGGTAAGCTTCTGATGGAAGGGTTCTGAACACCTCAGTAGGGCGTTGCTCACATCAGATACGTCCATCAATCAGTTTGGGAGTGCCACTTTTGGGGGTTCTTTTCCTTGGTCTTTGTTCTTTGGGGGTGCCCTTGATGGTTCTTGAGGGTGTGCTTGCTGTTCCCCACTGAATTTTCATGGTCCCGTCCCGTCCCCTTGGTTGGCGTGAGCGACGACCAAGACTCGATCTATCATCACATGTCGCAAAAAGGGGACGGCATGGGGCCGCTTGAATAGCGGACCATATCTATGGAATCCCTAAGGAGGGGTAGGTGCAGCGGGAGGGGATGGGTTGGTTTGGGCTTGAGCCTTAAGGAGCCTTAATAGCGCCTAATGGTGCTCAAGAACGTTCTGCAAGGCGTCCATTCTGGGCCCCTAAGCCATACGAAGGCAAAAGAGGAGGCGGAGGAGGCGCAAGAGGAGGCGCAAGAGGAGGCGAGGGCGGTGTTTTTCTCCGGGGGTTGCTTGGGTTGTTTGGCACCTTTGGCGGTTGCTTTGGGGTTCCTTGGTCTTTGTTCTTTGGGGTCCTTGGCTCCTGAGGGTTTGCTTGTTCAGGGTTCCTTGGGCGGGCAGGTGTTAAGATTCCTTCGGCTTTTGTAGGGTTCCTGATTGGAATTCCCGGGTTCCTGTGAATTCCTAGATGAGGGTTCCTTAGCCGTCGGTCTCTTTGGGTCCCAAGGCGTGGCTGCCGAAACTCGCTGACCAGCCAGAGTTGGGGCGAAGGTCCTGCAGCTGCTTTCGCTTCGTTTTAAAATTTGCCCCCCTTTTTTTTCTTCCGCTGTGGGTGTCACTTCCGGTGGCCCCGTTTTTTTTACCTCGCTGTGTTGGTCTTCCCGCCTTTTTGTTTTCTCTTCTGTAGGCGTGGCCTGTGTTGGTTTGCCCGCCCGTTCAATGGGCGCTGTGGCAGAGGCCAGTTTTTTTTTTTTTTTTTCTGTGGGCGTGGCCTGTGTTGGTTTTTGCCCGGTTGCGATGGCCTGCGGCAACTAGAGACGGGTCATCCGCGGTCAACATCTGAAAGATGTTCATTTGGCCATGGGTCAAAATCCTAATCGTATCCTCAGTGAACATCCCCATCCCCACTAAAATCCCGACAAGAATGGGTGGTGCACCTACCCCAAAATGGTCCTATTGGTTTTGAGCCACAGCCATTGATGGAGAAGGACTTCCTATCACTGAAGCTTGAAACAGCATGGCCTTCAGCTTGCAACTGGAAGCACTACCTCCTTTCCGGTCATCTCGGCGGGGTCGCGACCTTTTGGTTTCGCAATGTCCCGATCTGCTCTCTTCACTTCAGCTGGCTTTGAAACTGTATGGCCACTGCCCCTGGAAGGTTTGCTTTGGAATTCTGGCGCTGGCCTTATTTGCATGCAAAGTGTTGCAGGGGTTTCATGCTGGGTGACCCTAGCTGCAAATTGAATAGGGGGCGCCTTTTGGCCTTTTGGACTGCCAAAACTAACTGGGCTCTTCTCCCGACCAAGTCGCCCAAAGTCGCGAAGGAGGCAGTGAAAGAAGAAGATGAGCCGAAGCAAGATAAGGGCGACATCTTCCAAGGCCTGGAAGAGACAGAAGAGCCCGGAGCCCGGCGCTGACATGGCGGGGACCGGTCCCCTTTCTGTTCCTTCAGTATGCATCATCTTTGCTTTGGTGCATTTTGCTTGGATGTTAATTAGGACTTTAACTTTTTGCCAACGAATGGGTTTTCCATCAAACCACTAAATGTTAAACTTTTAGCAGGGGAGCAGAAAGCAACCGAGTTTGGTTGTCGAGTTTGAACAGAGTTTCCTTTTGGTGGATGTTTCGAGATGTTTCACAGCCGTTGGAGAAAACCAACTAGGCACAACACAAAACAGTTTTACTTGTGGGAACCCAGGTTTCGGAGATATATTTTTTAGGGGACCCCCAAAATTGATTTGGTGTTTTCCGACTCTGGTTTTACTTGAAAGCCACTAAAAAGACAGGCAACTCAGAAAGACGAGCCAGCTGGCAGCCCGAAAAAAAATATTGGACCCCGCGGGGTTGAAAGTTGACAGAACTGGACACCTTTTTGCCGTGGGTGGGTCAGACTTGCAAATCAAAGTGCTGAACCCAAGCAGAAGAAATCCTGAGGGGTCTCCCTTTAAGATCAGGGATCAATTTGTTACTTTCAAGTTGGTGTTTGTTAAACGAGCTTATCGGCAAATCTTATGGCCTTGCTAAAAGTAATCAGGTTTTCTTCGGGGGCGCATTGGAAAAGGGATGAAAAGGGGTTCGGCAAAGTGACCACCCTGCTGAAGGGTGGTTTCAAACATCCCCTTTTTAGGCCCCTTTCGGTGCAAAGAACATGAACTCACACTATGCCCCTTGGCCGGTGAGCATCGTGAATGCAAACAGAACAAAGGATGGGAACAAACACCCACGAGCAGGCACACAGCAAAAGCGATTCCCTTTGTTGGGCAAAACCCCTTCCACCCAGAAAAGAACATGGAACAAAATTAATAGTAAGAATAAGAATATGTGATTAGCCATGGTTAATATCATCATCAGGGACGTCGCGTTAGTGACCGACCTGTGGTGTTTTGGCTCAAGTTTTGGGTTCCGTCGCGCCTCGAATGGGCGTCGCCGAACCCCTGCGTCGACCGACGGCATCTCGGGGGAGAAAGAGACCTCGGGCCGCCGCCAGGTTGGTAGGGACCAGTCGCGCGGCCTGTTGTCGACCAAGGTTGCGGGTTAACCCTTTTCTTGTTTGGTTTGTTTTCCTTTGGTTGTTGTTCTCTGGTGTGTGGGAAACCCTGATCTTTGGGACCGGGGATTGGTTTGCTTTTGGGGAACCTTTCTTTTTGTGGCTTGTTTACCCCAACTTACCCATTGCCTGGGCACAGGCTCGTGCCCGAATCACAGGTTATCAGCCGTAGGACTTTCCTACGCGCTTGAGACCATCAACTACAAGCTCTATGTCGACCCCACGATCCCGGAGGAGCGTCGTGGATGAGGAGGCCATCCTAGGGGGCCTCCGCTCAGGTGAGGACCTACCGGACTATGACTACGAGGATTTCGAAGCAGGTTCGACAGGTCAGGATCGCAGGGGTGAAGATCCCGGTAGGGACACACCCAGGAGCCGTGGCAGGTACACCGATGATGGAGACGACCGCATTTTCCGTCAGGCCACCGATGATGAGCAGACACGAAGGGTTCGCTCCGATAGGAGCGGCTCTGAATCAGGTCACAGGCGCGGACAGTTCGACTTCATCAGCATGGCGATGAACATGGCCCGCCCTCATTCGGACGACCCGGAGGCTATGCCGACCCGACCCCCGAGATCTCTTGTTCCAGGTGAATCGCAGGTCTCGGATGAGTTTGAGGACAGGCCGCAGGGGCCAGGGACTATGGTTTTGGCTCCGAGAGGTATCTCGGGTCGATCCACTGGTTCTCAAAATCCAGGTCAGTTTGATGAGCACGAGGAGCGGAAATTCTCAGACTTCGGATACGATGCTCTGTTGAAATCAACCGCAGGTTGGGGCAGTAGCTCAAAGCAGGGATCTGATGCCGGTAGGCCCAACCCTAATACTGCCAAATCTGAGTCTTATGATGGCGAAGATTACAATTTTGCGGATGAGGAGGAGGACCAATCACGCCGAAATGCTAGGATCCGTGATGCTGCGAGGCCTAGGAGCCTCTCTCGTGGAGCCGCCAGGGACCTTCGTGTTGACAGGGACGCCCGAAGCGAGAGAGAGAGAGCCAGGGACAGTCGGGAAGTTCTTCGGGGATTGGAGGCTATCCATGACCGTGAGGGACCGGTAGGTCCCCCGGCGATTGGTGATACCCCGAATGTTCCCCCTTTTCCCAACATTACTTTGGAGGTCCGTTGGATCAGAGAGACGTGAACTCGAACCGGGTTACTGGTTCGCCGAGGATCACTGAGCGGGCTGCCGATATCGTTAGGACAGGTGCCAGAGATGGTCGGCTCGCCGATGCACTCGGAATCGAAGATCGTCCGTCGATCGCTAGCCCGTTAGGGCGAGATACCAGTGACCTTGAAACGCTAAGGTCTAGCAACGAGTTCACACCTCAATGGGGCTCGACCGCCAGGGAACGTAGTGTTTCTGCGAAGAGGCCGTCACCCCTCGCCATTGAGACCGATAGGTCAAAGGCGAGGAGGGCTAGCCCCTCACCAATGGGCTCAACTCCGCAGGATGAGGAGATGCCCGATCCTGCTGATGTTCACATTCACTCTACCCCCGAGTCTCGTGCATCCAACATTGATCCCCGATCTGGCGATAGCCGGAGAAGAGGATCTACCCCGAGTAGGCCACCCTCCTGTAGGCGACCCCAGAAGGCATGCCGGGGCTAGTGGGGCTCCTGAGAGGATCGAGATATCGACTCCTCCTGCCCTCAGATCCCAGTCTTCCGGCGAATCAGGTGACGCTAGGGCAAAGGAGGTGTTCGATTTGCACATCCAGGAGATGCTCGAGAGGGGTGAGGTTTCTGGCTCAGTCGCGAAGGCGTTCCATATTTTTGCTGACCAAATCAGGTTACTGAACGGTCAGGTGAGTTCCATGCGAAGGGAGTGGAGCGACGAGAATCGACAGACGAAGGACAAGGTCGATCGCCTGACAGCTGAGATTGCGACTCAATCTGATGCCGGTAGGATGCGAATGATAGTTCAACGGTTTGCTAGGGAAGTTATTCCTGACAGCAAAGCCATTGTGAGGCAAGCCATCGATGAACAGGCTGAAGTCGTGGAGCAGAGGATCAATCTGCTTTCACACGAGGTTCATGAATCTGTTAAGGACAATGAGGCCGCAACTGATCGGCTTCGCCAGATGATTCAAGAGAATCGTGAGGCCGTCCACAGGAGCCATGCTGCTTCCGAGGATGAGATCCTTAAGGACTTGGACAAGCTCGAGGGACGGATGTTCTCGGTAGAGAAAACCGTCGGGATGCGGACGCCAGCAGGTGAATGGAATTTGAATCCTGTCGCGCAACCGCCCGATAGGGCTAGCAGCAGTGGGGTGAACGCGAATTTCAGAGAGTTAAACCTGAAACTCGAAAAGGCTCTCCTTGAACACGAGAAGTTTGCTAAGTGGGCCTCCGAATCTATTGGTGGCATTAATGAAGAGCAAACCCTTCTTGCTAATCGGATGTCGAGGCTGCAAAGTGGAAGGGGGTCACAGGCGATCGATAGATCATCAGGGCCTGTATCCCCGCAGGACTGGCATGAAGCAATTGACGAAGTCAATCGAAAGGTCCAGGATCTATCTCGCGGAGTTCAACGCCACCATGGGGATCATGACGATGTCCTTGCAAGGTTTGAAACCTTGAAGTCCCGTGTTGAGCAGTACGAAGCGAGTTCGGGGATTCTGAATCAAGTTCTTGATGACATCAGAAGACAGATCCGCAGTCTCCCTGCGAATAGTGATCATGCGCGGTCTGCCGTTAGGCGTGAAATTGACTCATTCCGGAGTACGCTTGAGGGCGCTATGCGGAGAATCAGCACTGTCGAGAGTAACATGCGTACTCTTAATGGAATGAACAACAGAATCATGGCTCAGCTCTATGAAATCGAAGGTCATGTCGATGAGGCTGCTGGCATTATTCAGGGTGTCCAGGATAATCAGGTAAATCCTCCACAGCCCAGAGAGAGACGGAACGTTGGGTACGACGCTTTCGCGGGGCAGGGACACAGAATCAGGTCTCCGACGCCCACTCCCGGAGAAGGGAACGGTCGGGGTACTGGCCTTCCGGTGAGACCGGGCGGAGGTGTTGAGTTGGTTGATCACGCTTTGCCTAATGTGCCCGGTAGGGTCGATCCTTCCCAAGCAGGCAGGCATCCCATTAATCCCGATAGGGAGAGGGCTGACAGCAGAAGCAGGAGGGCGCGGGGACTGCCTGACAGGTCGCATTCACCGCCAGGGCGTGCGAGGGATGGCCCCCGCGCACGCGCAAGGGGGGACATTTCTGTTTCTCCCAACAGGGATGTGGGTAGGAATAGGAGCCCGAGGCCTGCTGCCGTCCCCGATAGGGGATCTGAGGTCCGGAGTCGGCAATCGAGGGGGGAGAGGCCGATCCGCGATAGCGGGAGCATCTCTCCGAACCTGGATAGGCCGATCCGCGATAGCGGGAACGTCTCTCCGAACCCAGACCGTCATCCAGGAGGTGGTAGGGATAATAGGGCCCATGCCGACATCCAGAGTCCCGGCAAGAACTGGAGGACTCCTGGGAGTAGAGCTAGTGCCGATATCCAGCTGGCGATAGCTGGAGGACTCCTGGAGCTCCATCTGATCGTGGACAGGCCTCGGCACCGGCCGCAAGAGGAGCTCCCGGTACCGGTGGCCCAGGTGCGCCAAAGATTTGTGCCCTTGATAATCCTAATGACCGTAGGCACCCGGACGCTGAATTCTCGTGTGTTACGTGCAATCGTGAGTTTTGCAGGCTTTGCCGGGGTGACGACGGGGACTGTTGCAATTGTCAGTTCTTGAAAATGAAGTGTTGGGCATGTCGCAAGAATGCCCAGGAGGTCTCAATGCATTTCTGCACGGATTGTGGGAACCACGTTTGTGAGGATCACAGTCATTTTGGCAGCGACGGCCTCGA